CCCGCCCGCACGCACGCACGCACGCACGCACGCACACACACACACACCCACACCCACATCCACACACCCACACACCCACACACCCACACACCCACACACCAAATGTCGTTACCCACAAAAGCACGTAACGCAAAGCACGATGGATACCAACGACCAATTTTAGTTTCCGGTTGGATCTTAAACCAAAGTGCGATGAATATCCATAGTTGCTGCAAACGCTTCCTTCTACAACCAATGCCACTCCTCAACTCCACTTCGTCCTGTGGAGGTCTCCGGGTTACCCCGCTGTCTCCTCCCTTTTCCTCCCTTTTCCTCCTCCTCCTCCTCCTCCCTCCTCCTCGTCCCCCTCCCCCTCATCCCTCATCCCCCACGCGGGGCGTGGCGGCGAACCGCGCGGTAACCAGCGCTAAGGTCATCGCCTTCTTGGCGGCGTCCTTCCAACACTGGGAGGGGAGAGGGCGGTGGAGGAGGAAGATGCCGACGGGTGGTGCCGGGGCGGATAATGAAGAAGATCACTGACCAAGCTTCCAGGTAACGGAAAGAGCGAGGTACGAGTGATGACGTTGTGTTTGGGCGAAGCTCCGAAAGGGGAGTGCAAAGGGGGGGCAGGGGGAGGGAATGAGTGTTAATGGCCGTCTTCGGGTTTTCCCACGGGTTTTTGTATGTTTTTCGGGTTCTCCCCTTTTTCGTCCCAGACGAGCCCAAGACCGCCCAAGACAGCCCCAAGATGTCCCAAGAGGCCTCCAAGACGCTTCAAGAGGCGCCCAAGAGGCGTCCCAAGAGGGCCCCCAAGAAGCCAGCATCATTGTTTTTTCTTAGGAAACGTGCATTTTAAGCATATACGGCTTTTCGGCTTTCACGGCGCTGACGACGGTCCAAGAGGCCCCCAAGACCGCCCCAAGGCGGCCCAAGAGGCTCCCAAGAGGCCCCCAAAACGGCCCGAGAGGGCCCAAGAGACGCCCAAGACGGCCAAAGAGGGCCCCAAGACGGCCCCAAGAGGGGGACCACGAACAGAAAAGTCTAGCCTGTCGCCCCAAGACTCCCCCAGGAGGCCCCAAGAGCCCCCCAAGAAGCCCCAAGAGGCCCCCAAGAGGCGTCCCAAGAGGCCACCAGGAGGCCAAATTCATTGATTTCCTCCGGGAAAAAGGTACATTTTAAGCATACACTGCTTTTCGGATTTCACGGCGTTGCAGACGGTCCCAGATGTCCCCAAGACCGCCCCAAGACGGCCCGATATGCTTCCAAGAGGCCCCCAAAACGGCCCAAGAGGTTCCCAAGACGGCCCAAGAGGCGCCCAAGACGGCCAAAGAGGGCCGCAAGACGGCCCCAAGAGGGGGACCACGAACCGAAAAGTCTAGCCTGTCGCCCCAAGACTCCCCCAGGAGGCCCCAAGAGCCCCCCCAAGAAGCCCCAAGAGGCCCCCAAGAGGCCCCCACAGGGGCTCGAAACGGGCCGCAATAGGACTCCCAAGAAGGCCCAGAGAAGCCAAATAAAGAGCGATCGGTAACGCAAAACGCTCTTCACACCAAGGCTCCCAAGAGCGAACGGTGACGTAAACAAGCTGATAAGACCAAGGCTCGCAGCAGGCAGCGGTGACGTAACAAGTTCCTGACACTAAGGCCCAGCCAAGGCTCCAGAACGGGCGGCAACGCAACAATCTCTGAACACCAAGGCTCCCAAGATCGCGGGGTGACGTAACAAGCTCCCAACGCCAAGGCTCCCAGTACGAACGGTGGTGTGAGTAATTTCGCTCGAGATTCTGAAGCGCTTTTTCCGTTTCTGTGCCGGGCCCAGGTCTACGGGGCGGAACGCCATTAAACAGTCTTTCGGGCTTGAAGGATCAGCATATGGGGGACCCCCTTTGCTTGGGGAAAGCCCCATCTTGTACCCTGTGGAGGAGGAGGAGGAGAAGCAGGAGGAGGAAGAGGAGGAGAGGAGAGGAGAGGAGCGGAGAGGAGAGGAGAGGAGAGGGGGAGGGGGAGGAGGGGGAGGAGGAGGAGGAGGAGGAGGAGGAGGAGGAGGAGGAGGAGGAGGAGAAGGAAAAGAGGGGGGTGGGAGAAAAGGGTGGGGATAGGAGATGCGGGAAGAGAGGGGTGGAAAAGGGAGGAGAAGATGGCAAGACGAGGAAAAGGCGCAGGGGGAAGGGGTTGGAGGATGGCGAGGGGGTGCAAGGGGCGCCGCGTGGCCGTAATGTTGCTCGGCTGTTGTGCTGCCTTACTGGAATTTGATCGGACGATTCTTGGGGATCCTGTGTGCCTCTTGGGGCTACCTTGGGGGGGTTCGAACTCCTACCAGCCCTTGAGGACGTGAGTGGTTTAGAGCGTTTCCTCTCCCAGCCCCCTTCCTTCGCTTTCGGGGAGGGATTTCTCTCTCTCTCTCTCTCTCTCTCTCTCTCTCTCTACTCTTGAAAGCATGAGCACTCCCTTCCCAAACCCAACCGCGACACACCAGGAGCAATGCCCCCGCCCGCCGTCCCTGTCAAGAACGAATGACACATTCCACTGTGCGGCAAACTCTGGATCATGTTTTGAGCAGGGACCGACCGTCTCGGCATTCCCATAGTCATGCCACGAAATGTTTTTAGAACCCAAAGATGTTTTAAGAACAACAACAGTGTTCTTATAACATTAACCCGATGTGATTAAACAAGACAGTCCCAGCCAGAAATGTTCTAAGAACATTTCGTGGGAACCACAGAAGGTTCTTAGAACATTGTTTCGTAAGGCTACAGGCGAGCCAGGACGCTTCGCCACTGCTTGAATGTTCGGGCGCCAGCATACTGCAACACGTGTGCAGGCCCACCATCCCCGTCACAAGCCAATGCAAAATAAACGCCGCGGCAAAATATTGACCATGAGCCGGCGCCCCGCGATCATTTGGCACTGTGATTTGGCAGGGGTGCTGGGGATGCCCTGGCACGGGCGGCCCACCTCACGGGCGTCGCGCACCTGGCGGGCGTCTGCGTTAAATCCGAATGGTTGTCGATGGCTGCCCCCGTCCATGCTAAGCCTCGGGTGCTACTCATGGGTTGGGAGGGCGGGCGGGAGTGAGCTAGACGGCTTGCGGCTTCTGGGTAGCTTGATCACTGTTCCCGATCAACTATCAATGAACACCCCCTCCCCAAGACAATCGGCAACCTACCAAGACAGATGACACCACCCCCATCCGTCAACAAAGAATACAGACTACACCTTGGGTAAATTCTTGGGGCATGCTCGTGGGCCCCGCGAGCTCCTTGCATTGTTTTCTAAAAGGAAGGCGCGGGTGCCCTCATACTGCCTGCTGTGCAGAAAGCCACCACCCCTGTCAGACAACAACACTACATTCGAAAACTGGGCGAGGGCTGCTAAAACCGTGGCTGCTAAAACGGCTTTCCCGGAAGGAAAAACAACTTCCCGGAATGAGGCACGGCACGCGAAACAATCAACGGGCTTCTTCCCGGAAGGACGAAGACAACTTCCCGGAGGTCGATTTTAGCAACCACGGATTTAGCAGCCCTTGCCCGGCTTCCGATACATGCACTTCGCAGCTAAATCTGGATAGTGCACAGCCGCCCCGCGATCACTGTCCATGGTTTTTGACGGGGGCCGCGAGGGTGCTGGCATATTGCCTGCTGTGCAGGCCCACCAGCAACCTTGATAGCCTTCCCGCTGCGATTGTGAATTGGTCTTCGAAAAGGATGGTGGGGGCCGACATTAGAGGCCTCCTATATGGGATCCGAGTAGATGGGGTCGAAGGATCGCGCCGCATCGCCGATGCATCGGCGAGGCGTCGGTGACGCATCGGAGATGCATCGGAGACGCATCAGCGACGTCGGCGTGGAGAAAATCGAGCTCCGCATCGAGCCGCATCGTCAACGCATCGGCGACGCGGCGCGATCCTCCGACCCTACCTGGGAGGCCTAACTAGACGTGTGCAGGCCCCACCAGCAACCTTGAGGGCCTTCCCGCCGCGATGGTGCACTGGCCTTCGAGGAGGATGGTGGGGGCCGGCGTGTCTGCCACGCGCGCGGGCGCACCTGGCACACCCTGCGCGTGCCCCCGGCGTGGCGCGCCTGGGGCGGGCGGGCGGGCCGTGCGGTAGGCACGTGGAGCAGGTGGCGCTTCGGTCGGGGGCGCGCAAGCATGGATGAGCGGTCCCGGCGATTTCCCATGGAAGCGGGGCCCGTCGCCAATCCACGCCCCCTGGATCCGTGTTTGCGATCGCCTGAATCCGGCGTGCCTGGCACGTTTGGGCCCCCAGGGGCCCTCCTCCCCATCACTTCTCCGCGTTCCCCTTTTCTCCCCCCCCCCTCCTCCTCCCCCTCCTCCCCCTCTCCCCCTCCACCCTCCTCCTCCTCCTCCTCCTCCTCCTCCTCCTCCTCCTCCTCCTCCTCCCCTCCCCCCTCCCCCTCCCCCTCCTCCTCCTCCTCCTCCTCCTCCTCCTCCTCCTCCTCCTCCTCCTCCTCCTCCTCCTCTCCTCCTCCTCCTCCTCCTCCTCCTCTCCTCCTCTTTTCTCCCCCCCTCTCCCTCCCCCTCCCCTCCTCCTCCTCCAGTCCTTCTGCCTCTCGGGGCTCTGCGCGGCAGCGGGCGGCAGGCCTCCCGCGGGCGTGCCGGGGGGGGGGGGCGGCGGGGGAGGGGCGGGCTGCCGGGGAGGGGGCGGAGGTGGGGAGCCCAGATGGTCTGGTACCGGAAATTTTCGGTAGCGATTTCGACGCACCCCGAATTTCGGTAGCGACTGGATCTTCGTTTGAGGGCGTTGAAATAGCGGATTTCAGAACGGTCTGATACCGGTATTGGGCGCTGCATTTCGGTATTTCGGTAGCGACCGATCTCTGCGGAGCGCTACCGGAAATTTTCGGTAGCGGACCATCAGGGAGGAGGAGCAGCAGAAGTTGAGGAGTTGGGGAGTCGATTGAGGTGGGGGAGGAGGAGGAGCAGGAGGAGTCGGGGACTTGACTGAGGTTCTGGAGAAGCGGGAGGAGTTGAGGAGTCGGGGAGTTGAGTGAGGTGGGGAGGAGGAGGAGCAGGAGGAGTCGGGGAGTTGACTGAGGTTCTGGAGAAGCAGGAGGAGTTGAGGAGTTGGGGAGTTGATTGAGGTGGGGAGGAGGAGGAGCAGGAGGAGTCGGGAGATGATTAAGGAGTTGGGGGGTTGATCTCCTACAACCGGTTGCAACATCCACCCTGCTGCCTGGTTTGATCACCCTCCCAGGGCCGACCGGCCCTGGGGGGGGAGGCCGCCTTCGACGAACCTCAGGCCGTCAGGAACGAGGAACCCGGCAGGAGGAGCAGGGTGGGAGGGAGGAGGCAGGGGGATGGGAATTCCTTCGGCAGGTTCATGGTTCGAGTGTTGAGCGCAGGCTGGTCGCCGCGCAATCGATTTGGGGTCGCGGGAAGTCGTTGTCTGCGGCGCCCCGGCACCACTACTCGCTTCTGGGGACACAAGCACCTCCAAAGCGTAGCTCATGTGGGTGGGCTTCGGGTCCTTCTGCATGCAGTACGCCTTGGCCTGGAGGTCGCACCTCATGTGGGTAGCCTCTGTGTTCTGGATCTGTCCGCCTGTCGAGTACCTCTGGTCACATCCCCCGATGCGGGTAGCCTTTGGGTCCAATGTGTCTGGGCGTTAGTCGAACACTCCTGCTCGAACCTCCTTGTGTGGGCAGCCTTCGGGTTCCCGATACGACCGCCTGTCGTGCGCCTCTGGTCGTGCCTCGGTCTGCCTGCCTGCCGAGAACCTCCGGTGGCGCATCGGAAAAGTCCCTGGAGACCCGCCCGAGGCTCTGTGGAGACCTGCCGAGGGCCTCGGAGAGCTGCCGAGGGCCCCCGGGGCCGTCACGTCCTCACGGGCGGCGCGACCGTTCCGGTGGGCAGCCGTCGGGATCGGGAGCCCTCCGTTGAGGACCTCTTGCCGTGCCTGTTCATGTGGGCAGCGCGCGGGTTCTCGCTCTCAGCTCTGTCGAGCACTCCTGGTCGTGACTTTTCTGGTGGGTAGCACTCAGGGCATCGGTCTTGCTGTCCGCTTTGCACACCTGGTCTTACCTGTTCCTTTGACTAGCCTTCGTCTTCTCGGCCTGGCCGTCCGTCGTGCTGTTCTGGTCGTGCCTCTCTGGGTGGGTGGCCTTCCTGCCTGCTTGATGATCTGGACTCCATTTTTGTGTTAGCTTGAGTTGCGCGGGGGCTGTCGTTTACAGACTCATGTCTCCTTCTTCTTATGCTTCTTTTTCTTCTCACATACGTGGCTAGTCAACCGCCGTGCCTCCACAAAACCAGCATACCTCGTATACTTCTGGTATCGAGCAAGGGGTGGGTCTCGTGCGTGGCAACCCCATTGGTATCCACTTGGACTCCTTCTCGCTTCGGTCAGCCTTCACTTTCTTGCTGTAGCCAGTCCTGGATATCCTTGGCGTGTGTGCGGGGACTGGCGGTCTGGCAACACAACTTGCAAAACCAACCTGATACGCTATTTGTCTTTGTGGAATTGGGTGCCGTTGCCGTCAGTTTCTCTGCTGTCAGGGTATTTGTTGATTCTGCGTCGTGAGTAGACGCTGATCCTCCTTCGTTGATGATTGCAATATTTCTGTTTTGACTTCAGGTCGTCGTTCGATCTCTTCATTCGTCGCCGGCGTTATCTTGGCTCTGATGGAACTTGCTGTAGCCATCGCCCATTCATACCAGGCGATCTCCGCGTCTGTGCATCTGCGCTTCTTGCTCGGCCACTGCGTCTGCGACTCTACTCCCTCGACGTGCATGTCTGGGGGTCTTTTCCTCCGAGTTTCGGCCCATTCGATATGACTGCTGATGTACAAAATACTGATGGTGTTGCCGTCCAAGCCTAACTCTTGTAATTACGGCGGTCCTGGCATCCACCCATACCCGCCTCTGTGCCACCTGGCACCCTGAGGCGTGGTGGACTACCAAGAGCCATGTGCTAAGTGTTCTTAGAACAAGAAAAAACGGCATACCATAAACTTTTGCCGCTCCGCGCGGATTTCTTGGATCTGCGCTAGACCCCCTCCCTGGCGCGCGGAGCGCGCCAGGGGCGGCGCCGGCGGCGCCGCCCGTGGGCCCCAGCGCGGATCCAAGAAATCCGCGCGGAGCGCCACAAGTTAAGTCTATGGCGTTTTTTCTCTTCGAATTCTGCACCCCTGGCCTTCTGAGAAGTTGCTGAAGCCTTCCTCGAAGACTGGAACAGCTCCTGAGATGGCGCGAGGGCTTCTGAGAAGTCCCGCCGCCTTCTGAGAAGGCCTTCTCCTTCTCACTTCCCCCCCCACTCCTGGAGAGCTGCCTACCCGTGCCACCCCTGGGGTGGCGACACGGCCTGCGATGGCGCAGGCCACCCGAGGAGGAGGATGAGGAGGAGGAGGAGGAGGAGGAGGAGGAGGAGGAGGAGGAGGAGGAGGAGGAGGAGGAGGAGGGGGAGTCACTCCGCTCGCCGCCGAGTAGTGTTCGAACCCCCCAACTCTCGGCGCATGGCGCCCTGCATGCGTCGCCCCCTCCCGCGCCTCCCTGGGCTTAGGTCGGGCCTGTCCCCCTACAGGGGCGAAACAATGAAAATACTTTAAAACAAATACTCCCAAAAATGCTCACAGATAACCCCAAAAAAGTCCTCAGACTATTCTCTTACCTATGTTTGAATATTCCTCCTGTAGAAGGACATGCCCGATTTAACCATGGGCCTCCCGTGGCGTGCCCTCCTGGCGCTTCCCGGGGCTCTCTTGTTGAGGCTTTTTCCAGGCGGCCCTGGCAGGTCACCAAAGTGGCACGAGATCGCCTCGAGACGCACAGTGGCCCCCTCGTAGGCGCCCGTGAAGAGGCCACCAGGAGGCCCCCCAAAGCACCCTCGAGACGCTCTCGGGGAGGGCCCACACGAGGCCAAACACGCTGAGTCCCTCTGGGTGTTTCCGTGTGGTTTCGCTTTCCACTCCACGCTCTTCGTTCCAAGATCGGCCTTGCGGTCGCCGAACGCCCAGGCAAGTAGTCTGGCGAAAGACCCAACCCAAAGAGGCTGCGAGTAGCGCAGAATATGACCGCCTCCTCGTAGGCAATGCGCCGCGAGAAGGAAATTGCTCTGCGTGGCGCCGCGAAACACGCGAGGGGCATGCGATACCCTGCCACTGATGCCTTCGGTGGACCACGAAACCGGTGAGTGGTGTGCCGAACTTGGCGGGGTGGGACGCATTGGATACCTTAGCGTTGAGGCCTTCGGTGGAGCTCCCTGTAGGGGCCACGAAACGTTTGAGAGGTATGCCCGAATGGGCGGGCGGACAACAACACCTTGTCACTGAGACCTGCGGTGCAGCTCCGTGTGGAGCCACGACATATGTGAGGCGTATGCCGAAATGGGCGGGGGGACCTCACGCGGTACCCTGCCACTTAAAGCTTCGGTGGAACTCACTGCGGGACCGCAGGGGTGGCCGCACGCGATACCTTGGGTGGAGCCCCCTGTGGGGCCACGCAACGTGGGAGGGGTGAGCCGAACTGGGCGGGGGACCACATGCAAGACCTTGCGACCGAAGCCTTGCGTGGAGCTCCCCGATGGTCACGAAAGTTGTGAGGGGCGTGCCGAAAATGAGTACGCGGAGAGCATAGGACATACAGTGGAGGCCAGTCCACAAGAAACCTTCCACAAGAAACCCAACCCTGAGACCGCAGGGCGTTCACTGAATTTTGGTGAGGGAACGTTACGCTTTCCATGGCAAAACCATCGAAACCCAAGAAGCCCAGGGCACCCTGGAGGCAAGCAGGGTGTTTCTTGGCATGGGTCTTAGGCCGTCTTGGGGCGCTCTGGGGAGCCTTGCGGGCGGTCTCGTGGCGATCTTGGAGGCATACTGGGCCGTCTTGCAGCGTTGAAGCCCCAAAGGCGAGAACGCCAAAATCACCGAAAACCATCACGGGCATGCTTATGATCTTGGCATTCGCCCCCTCGCGGGGCCCTCATGGAGCCACGTCGGACCTTCCCACTCTGAAGCCGCCGAGGGGCTGCCGGCGGACACGCCGGTGCGCGCCGGCGGCATGCACGGCCTGTGGGAGGCCCAGAAGCACAGCGACCTCACACCGCGGCTTACGCGGGCTGCCAGCGCGTCACGCGTGCGAGGAGGAGGAGGAGGAGGAGGAGGAGAAGGAGGAGAAGGAGGGGGGGAGGAGGAGGAGGAGGAGCAGGAGGAGGAGGAGGAGGAGGAGGAGGAGGAGGAGGAGGAGGAGGAGGATGAGGAAGGGAGAAGGAGGAGGAAGAGGAGGAGAAGGGGGCGCTCACGCGCGACCTTTTGCGCGGGCAGCCGGCGCGCCACCGCCGGTGGAGGCACGGCCCCGTGCCCCGCCGTCGCTCCAGCGGAGCATCGCCTCACCGATCTCCCGTGCCCACCGGCACGGCCTTGGCCCCACTGGCCCACGCTTGCTACGCAGATGTTCGGGTCGGGCGAAAGGGGGGGATAGCAAAGGGGGGCTTTGAGAATCAGCTCACGTAGCTGATTTTACCGGCGCCTCAGGCCTCCCGGCGCCGGTAGGCGCCCATGTATCGAGGAATGGGCCGGGCGGCGGGGCCGAAACCAGCTGCATGCACCAGATTTCGCAACCCCCCCTTTCCCAACCCCCCCCTTTCGCCCGACCCGAGATGCTCCGGAGCGCGGAGCCGCTCCCAGAAAGCCTGGGGGCCCCACGGCGCGCGGTGGTCCGGTGCCCAGCCCCCGTCGCCCAAGACATCCATCGGGGGCGCGCGGGCATGGATTTGCGATCCACGGATCTGGCGCGCCGTCGCCGAATCCATGGATCGGGGGAGGTGCCCTCCCCAAAATGCGGCCGGTGCCGCCTCGCTCGGCGGCGACAATGCGCGATTTCCGATGGAAACGGGACCCGTCGCTAATCCACGCCCCCTTGATCAATGTTTGCGATCGCCTGAATCTATCCGCCGCCGGGCCTTGTGCCCGCTGGGGCGTCTTAGAATGCTCCCCTATTGTCTGGGAGGCATCCATATGCTTCTGAGGCTCCCCCCCCTTGCCGCGTGCGTCCCTTGCAAATCACTCCCCCCCCTGAGTTTGCCTCCTGGCTCTCTTCTGGCCTCCAGGACGGCTGCCAATGCAGCCAATAAGACACCAAGACGGCCCAAGCTGTCCCTTGACGGCTCAAGAGGCTCCCAAGACGGCCCAAGAGGACCTCAAAACGGCTCCAAGGCGGCCCAAGATGGCTCCACGAGGCCCCCCAGGAGAGCCCCAGGAGGCCAAAACGAATGAGAGTCCTTCGGTTTTGAATGCGTTTTGAGGTTCTCGCCTGTTGGGGTTTCCGACCGCCCAAGACGGCCCACGAGGCCTCCAAGAAGCCGCCAGGATAGCTGCAGGGCAGCCCAAGAGGCCCCCAAGAGGGCCCCAAGTCGGCCAAAGAGGACCCACAGATTGCCCACGGGGCTTCCACAAGTTATGATGCTCCACCTACTGTAGCCTTGATCACCAGAAAGAATTTCGATCACCAAGAAAGTACAGAAATTTGAAGGGTTTTCGCTTGTCGGACCCTGGAAGGCGATACTCGTTCGACACTGTTGAGATTGTGCTCGAAATTAGTTCTGGGATTTGGTTCTTAAGTACGATGAGAGCAACATCACCCAAGGCGGCCCTGAAGAGCTCCAAGAGGGCACCAGGACGGCACAGAAAGGTCCCCAAGACGGGCCTCCGAAGGCGGCAGACGGGCCAAGAGTCCCCCAAGACAGCCCAAGAGACCCCCAGGAGGCTCTAAGGAGGCTCCCAGGATGCCCCAAAGAGGACTCCAAGAAGCCTTCTCCTCCTCCTCCTCATTTGCTTCCTCTCCTCCTCCTCCGCCTCCTCCTCCTCCTTATTGCGCGGACAAAGACAAGGTCGAGATCACGACCATCCCCAATTCGGACAACTCACTGAATTGACGTGGGGCGTGACTTCAAACTGCCCCCGAACTGCATCTAAGCGGCCCCCGAGAGGCCTCCCACGAGGCCCAACGAACATTCAATAGGCTTCAGACCCAATCCAAGCACGATGGCGGGCTGGGCTGAAGGCCATCATACATGCATACACACATGTATGCATATATACACATATGTATATATGTGTGTATATATATATATATATATATATTTAGATCCACTCATGTACACAAACACACATAAACATAACCATATGTATTCATACATCTGTTTGGATAGACATATACATGTACGCGCGTACACATACCGTTGCATATACGTGCGTATGTCTACATACTTCAGTGTTTGCATAATTTTCCAACAAAGACAGGGAGATAACGATCCGCCACCGTGCCCTTGGCACGAAGTGGAGTGCCCGAAGGATCACAGCTGTGCTACTGCTGCAGCCAGGGATCTAGATCCGTAAGGGCCCAGACCCTCAATTATCCAGGCACTTCTGGGCGCTCCCCGGAATTTCTGGGAGCTCTTGCGGTATGTCGCGTGAATTTTCTCGAAGTCAGGTGGGTCTCGGAACGGGCCAAGAAATCCCCGTGAGGCCTCCCAGACGGTCCAAGGGGGACCCACGTCGCCCCATGATCGCTTCAAGACTCCCAAGATGGCCTTGAGACGCTCAAAGAGGCCCCCAAGAAGCTCTAAGGGGGCTCCAAGAGCCCCCCGGGGGACCCTGAGAGGCCCACATCATTGAGTTCTTCTTGGTTTTTGAAAGATTGTAGCCTTCTCGCCTCTTTCAGCTTCCAACGCTCCAAGACGGCCCAAGAACTCGCCAAGAGCGCGCCATGACTGCCCAGAAAGCCCCCAGGAGGGCGC